TTTAGACAAGATGATGAACATTTCTAAAACTCTTATCTTCAATCATTTCTTATTTACAAACGAGTCCTAACAATGATGCAATGTATGCACAGCCCCACTGGTCTGAGTCTCATAACTCAAACATCTCCCATACACAATGGTAATTAGTTTGTATTATATTAACAAACAGAAATGTGAAACAACTGCAGGGTTCCTTTTTGATTATGCAAGAGATATGTAAATAATCTTTACAAGAAGCCCTTTACTGACCATGTTCTGACTGGGCTGTTTGCACCAGGAGTGATGGGCTCGTGGCTGAGCCCTGACCTGGGAGAGGGGAATCACATTCCTGATGCTGTTTTCCATAAGTCTCTGCATCACCACAAATACTTTCACTCACTTTATTGATGATACAAGAATATTTCTCCATGTGTGTGTAGAGCAACAGCCAGACCAGGGCTCCAGTCTCAAGTATTTTGATGTCATGTGAGGGTAACAAAAATCACACGCCAGGCCGAGCCGAGTCCTCTGTGGAGGTTTTTGTGCCACCCACTGTGACCAGAGGTGACACAGCAACCTTGATTTGCAAAGCTATTATAAACAAAGACATAATGCTACAATTTTTGGTTGGCTTTGGAAATTAGACTTTGACAAGAAATTAAAAATGTTACATAACCATACAATTAAAGGATTATTATGAGAGATCATTTACTTAAAATGATGTTTTGGTTGAGAACATCCTGACTGTGCACAGCATTCTCTTAACCATTGAAAGGACATAAACAGTGTCTGGTTTTGCAGCTTATCTATTTATGAACTTATTTCTGCTCTGATACAAACTTTAAAGGACCTGGAAGCAAAAGGACAGCGACAGGGTAAAAATGCCAAACACGACAAATTTTGCAAGCTCCATATTTACCATCCATCCCAGAGTACTACATTCTCATGCAAGCATGTCACAATGAGAAAACAACATCTCTATAAGGGTAAAACAAACAGCATTCACAATTTCTGAAAGCATTTTTCCACAATTATTGCACTAGATTAGATTGCCTCATCAACAGGGCCAGAGGCCATTTACACTATTTTCTTTCTTTTTTTTTTTATGGAACAGATGAAAGGATTACAGAAAGTTTTCTGGGGCCAAATTTGGAGCTAATGATGGGAAAATTCTTTTGCTAATCCCCACTGCTAGCAGACTCCCGAGGCTGGAAAAAAACAATGTCTCCTGGTACCCTGCCTCTACTTTGCTCATCAGTGCAAAATACCCCACTCAGGAGGTTTGTAAAGGCCCATAGGATTTAAGCAGAGCCACAAAAAGTGCAGGACAGGGATATCCTGAAAACCTCAGTGAAGAAGGACATGAGACTCCAATTAAACCTCGGACACATGGCAGTGAAATCCAAGGATGGGATTCAATTGCTGTGCAAAGCAGCCACCTCCATCCTAGCCCAGGCTGGCTTTATCCTTGTGGGAAAGAGGCTTTTCCAGGACCTGCTGTGCCAGGCAGGCTGGGGGGATCCCACCTGGGCAATCCCTGTTGACTACAGAGGATGCTCAGAGTGGAAAGACGTGGAGCAAAGCGAGGTTGGTGTCACCCACCAACCCTTCCAGAGGGCACAGCAACCACCACAGCCCAGGGACACCCTCCTACAAACCTCCAGCACTGCTCCTCCTCCTGCCTGTCAGCACAGCAGGGCAGGAAAAATAGATACAGCCAAGTAACCTCCCTTCCAAAGGCAAAGTTTAATCATTTTTCAGTCATTTAACAAACACAAAAGAATTCACATGTACCAACTCTACTCGAGAAGTAAACTTTGCATAATTAATCAGGATCCCTCAGAACTTGTACATCTGCAAATGCACAGCTACACCAACTGGCACTCGAGGGAAAATGCCTCTGGCCACCTCAGAGAGCTGGGAAGTGCAAGCATCTGCACTGAGCAGAGTCTGAGCTGCCAGGGAATGGAAAAAGCAGGTTGAGGAACAAGTTGTCTGGAAAATAAGTACAAAACTCCCTAAAATCTGATTCATTAATGGACATTATCAGCTCCCTCTGCATAAAGCCATATTTTATCATAATAACAGAACAAGCTAAAGGCACCTACTTAGTTGCAGAAGGTGGGAACATCCAAAGCAGGTCAGGGAGTGGAAGTCAAGCTTCCCACAGAACGGGCAATTTGGTGGAAAATTTGACTCAAAGAAAAAGAAATACTGAAGCAGCACTTAATGAAGATGAACTTCCCCTGCCTCCCCACAATACAGCCCATGCCATTATCACTCAGCACTAGGAAGGAAAGAGATTCCAAGGAAGGGGAAATTACAGGGCAGTTATCCTCATCAACCTGAGCGTGGAGCAGTGACACGGGCTTGGCAGAGAGCCTGAGCACAGTCTGCACATGGTTAAGCACAGGGCACGAGCAAGATGTGCACAGGGAAAGCAGCCCCTGGAAAATATTGCAAGGGAGTTCAGCTTTTCCATGGTGCCAGTGGCAACAAAATGCCCAACCTTATCCCCCTGTATCCGCAAAAAAAATAAAACCCAAAAACACATGGATTGCATAAAGGCAGAGGAAACATGGGAGTTCCACTTGCCCAGCAGTGATGAAGCCAAGTGCTGAGTGATCTGCTCCCCCATCTGGAAAGTCAGGCTATTTCCCACCTATTTTGGACAGCTTAGACATCTACAAATGACACTCTGTACATGGCTGGCAGGTTTTATGCTCATAATTCTAGGACAG